TGGCGGTCTGTACACAACATGTACAATGATGTTTTTAGTGATTTTATCTATAACTTCAATCGTTTATGATTTGCAATCATTACTAATTACACTAAGTTCGGTTAGCGGTTTAAAATTTAAAGAATTGTGAATAAAAATACATACTCCTTCACCTATTGTCTCAGAATTTCTAACTTCCCAGTGGGAAAAAAGACATCTTTAGACAAATAAAAGGCGTCTTTTTTATGACTTGTTATGTCTTTTTATAATCAGCCAAAATAAAGACGTCTTTTAAAAAGACGTCTTCAAAAAAGAGGTCAAAAAGACGTCAATCGGTTGTTAATAAGGAAATCATTATTTGCTTAAGAAAATTAAAAATAATTATTGCCAATAGAACCTAACAAAAATGGGTTTTAACCCACAGTATCGTAATTACGATATCTTTGTTACGTTCTAATTGGCCCGTTTTTTGTTTACAAAATACTATTATATAACATTTATGTGAAACGTTTTTGCATAGGAAATTTAATTAAAAATTAACTTTTTTCGGTAAGCGGGTTTATTTAATAATTTATATAATAAAGTAATATATTATGTAAAATATACATAATATAAACGCATATATATATATTATATTATATTATATATATATATATATATATATATATATATATATATATATATATATATATATATATATATATATATATATATATATATATATATATATATATATATATATATATGTATATATATATATATATATATATATATATATATATATATATATATATATATATATATTATATAATTGTATATATATTAATAAATATAGGGAAAACTGGGGTAAAATGGGGTACTTAAGAATGAAACCCTATAAAAGTCACAAAAATAAATAAAATGATTACAAATAAATCTTTAAACATCAGAATACAACATAGACAACATTGTAACAAAACAGCAAGTCAAAAGAATGTAAATTAATTGATTTATTACATTTTTTTAAAAATAACATAAAAACCCCATTTTACCCCAAGCATGGGGCAAAACGGGGTAATGGATGGGGCAAAATGGGGTCAAAGGAGGAACTCAAACAAATATGATAAATTAATCACTGCTAGTACAAATATAATCAATCACTGCTAGTACAAATATAATCAATCACTACTAGTACATAGCTCACACAAAAAGTAAGATTTTTTGTTTCTTTCATCAATGCCTGCACAAGAATAATGGGCCCATCTGTGGCACTCAGTACATGAGACCCAACTCTCTGTGCTGCTGGAATAAAGATCTTCACAATAGAGGCATGGTGTGTCTTCATTTGATTTTTTGAAAGATTTGTTTTTCTTTGGATTCTTTTTTTTATTTGGCTTCCATTAATGATCTTTTGTAAGGCGAAGAAGTCAAAATAGCTGTTTTTCCTCTTTGTTTAGAAATACGTTTTTTTTGGGCCTGTTTTAGGATGGGCAGCAAATGACGTGGCGAGATTGCAAAGCTTGAAGGTACAGTGGTTGATGTGCTAGACCTATATGAAGTTGAAGGTTCAGTGGCGGATGTGCTACCGGTACATGAAGTGGAAGGGTCAGTGGTTGATGTGCTATCTGAAGGTTTCGTGGCAGGAGTAGAGACAGTGGTAAGGGCTGAATCCGTGGTAACAAAACTTTCAGTATCCTCAGTAATAATGCTCATGTCTGTTACTTCCGCTGCTATGAAATCAGCATCAGTAAATACTGACCTATCCACTGGCCAAATACCTGCTTTTTTTAAATCCATTGATTGCATTAGTCATGGTAGCAGCATCAAGATATGACGCACCAAACAGTGATGCAATTTGAAATTGCGTTACCACACGCCCAGGATTTGTTCTTAACCATTTGCTTAAATTATGGTCATAAAATGTACTCAGAGGTTTCATAAACGAAATGTCAAGAGGTTGCATTTTGTGAGTGCAGTGTGGAGGCAAACAAAGGAGAATGACACCATTCTCTCTGGCAATGTCAATAAGCTCTATGCTTTTAGTGTGTGTCGCATGTCCATCTAATATTAAAAGAACTGGTGAATCTTTTGTGGCTCCTGTGTGTAATATAAACTTCTTTAACCAATTTATAAATAAATCAGTCTGGATCCATCCACTTGGGTGGCATTCTGCCCAAGAACCAGGAGGTGCTCCATCCATCAACTCTGCCTTAATGCGCTGACGGGGAAAGATTAACATAGGTGGCATGTATCTCCCACTTGCTGAACAGCAAACTACTGCTCTAACAAGTTGACCCCTTTCTGCAGATGTAAGAGAGCCAACTTGCCTTTTTCCTTTTGTGGAAATAATTTTTGACAGCGACTTAGGGACAGTAGAAATGCCTGTTTCATCGACGTTCCATACTCTTTCGACATCAATTTTATTTATGTCAATGACATTCTCAACAAGCTCGAAAAATTTATTAACGGCTACTTTATTAAAGCCCATTGCTCTGGCTGCAGATGTCGCTTCAGGCTTTCTCAGTGACAAATGTTTGGCATGTCTCAACATAAAACCCTGATACCAGTCGTAACCGGCCACCCCCAACTCTTTATTAAATTTATGAGCCTTTCTATTTTTTTCAGCTAGTTCAAAGGCAAGTTTTCTCAGCTCATAGGAGGTTAGGCCAAAAAGCATTTTCTCCATCTGCTGAACATGCTGAACAAGTTCTGCCTCCTCTTCCAATGTAAAGATAGTTTTGAATGCGCCTAGCGCTGAAAAAGAAATTAAAATTAAAAATTAGAATTAAAATTAACTAAATAAAGATGCTTTTCATACAAATTCATTTATTTAGAACATATACCATAGCCTATTTTCTGGCATTTAATTTAATATTTAAAAATGTGAAAAATTCCTAAATTTAGATTGTGCTTAATCCATTTACTTACTCTTTTTGCAAGCATCCTTAATATCAGGATTTTTCTTAAATTTAGCCACTCTGCGTTTGAGGGTTGTCTGTGGCACACCATACATTGCAGCTGCCTTTTTATACCCATGATCACCATTGATCACACGCCTGCTGCATTTCGGTTTCATTCCAAGTTTGGCGTTCAGATATTCTTTTGTAATTTCTCATTTTTTTCAAAGTTAATAATTTGAAAAAATAAAATAAAACAACTTTAATATCAGCAATTTAAGTACGATTCAGTAAGAACTAAACAAATAGGCTTACTATTATTATAATAAAATTTCAGAATTATTTTTTTACTTAGCTAGACTACATAGACTTAGATGTGGGCAATTTATTTTATGTTTCCCTGAGACACTAAATGAATCACTATTTGTTTAAGATATATATATTTCGTTTATAACGTTATACTCCACTGACTGCGAATCACTAACTAAATCTACAAAATAGCTACACATATAACGTGAGAATTGCGCAGATGCGCAATTCCCAAGTGGTTTTGAAAACTTGTTTAAAAACTGGTTTTTCACGTTTATAAGTTCGTTACGTTCTTCTAAGTCCGTGCGTATGAAGTTCTATTGCAAAATAACCCGTTAATTGCTCTTTAGACGAGATTTCCAACATAGATGACTTAGCTCAAACTAGACTTTCTTATTTTATATTTATAGTTCTATAGTATAGGCTATAATAATACATTAACTGAACTTTAACAACAATAAAATTATATTTTAAAAATAGACTAGTATTAAGTATTAGTATTATTTATTAAAAGAACCTAGGCCTATTGAATAAAATTATAGCAGGTCTATTGAGTCTATTAGTAATTTAAAAAAATAGAACCACGTTTAAATATAAACCACATCTTATTTCTATAATTTAGATAAATAACACTACCGGGGTAAAATGGGGAAATACCCCATTTTGCCCCTTTGAGACACCCCATTTTACCCCAACATAGGAGGTATAATAAAACTGTTCGAAAAAACAAAGCAGAGCAAAGCTCATAAATATATAAGAGTCTTAATTGCTTAATATATAATATCATTCAGGAACAATAATATATTTAATTCAAAGCTTTTATTACAAAGAAGCTGTTTCTTAAAATATAATGTTAAAAAATAAGATGAAAAAGTTGACAAAATTGTATTTACCTCTCAACGACGATACTTGAAGAAAACGTGAACAAAAGTAAAAGATGGCGACGTCTCTTCTCGCGATATTTCAAATCCAATTTTTTTTTCGATGCTCTGAGGCTCTGAATGGGGTGTATTTTCAAAACCCCATTTTGCCCCACTACCCCATTTTACCCCAGTTTCCCCCACAATTGCAGCTGTTTAGCTAAAAAATGTTAATGAGAAGAAGCAAAAGTGGATGGCGTGGTGCCAGTAAGATGGTATCAATATGATCTAGTCTCAATTAAGTTAGTCGCAGGTAAGTGTTTAAAAAAAGTTTTACCGTTTATTTTAAGACTAATTTTTTAATGTACTGTGCTTGAAGAACGTTGTTTATTACATATTAAATTAAGATATTTATTTTCAGACGAAAAATAAAACCTGTAAACAATTTCTCTCTATATTTACTTGTTCAAGTGCCAGTGAAACGAACGATAGAAAAAAAGAAGCATTCAGTAGGCTTGCAATTTTTTTAAATGATCTGAATAATTTTGTTGTTTTTATTTAGTTGAATGATGAAATTGTTTATACAAAAAATTGGCTCTTCAACTTTTATGTTAAATATATTATTTTCTTGTTAACTGTTGTCTGTCATTAAAAAGCAATTATAAAAATACACACAATGACAACAGATTTATCTTAAGAACTGTTCGCAAATTTTTTGGTTTGGATACAAAAAACTAAGTGAAAATGATGCTGGAAAGGTACACTTTCTTATATCTAAACATCATTGCAGCTTTCTAGTCTTCATTTTTATTTATGTGTATTTCATCTGTGTTGCTAATGATATCACCAGTTTTTATGATTTTATGTTGTTAAGTAAACCATCATTATGTTTCATGCTAAAATAGAGCTATGATTAATACTTTTTTCCAGTTTAAATGAATAACAACTCACAAGGTGTATAAGCTGAACTATCTTTTTGTTTTAATAGTCTTTAGTCAATAACGGATTTTTAAATTGTTATGAGTCTACAACACTTAATTTCAGCGAAATTCAATTAAAAAGTCATGTTATAAAAGACAGAAAAATATCAATATCTGTTTTCAGTAACTTGGTTTTCATAGCAAATCTGAGAGGTACAAATGTTTAGCTTGATTTAAGTACAACATAATACAATACAACGTTGTACAGTCATTTTGATGGTTGTAAACTTATTTAGCACACTCATTTTTATATATTTGTAGACTGTTTACCGTTTGACTCCTGTCCCAACCTAACCTAGTGGTTCAAAAAGAAGGGACCGCGCTGGAAACATGAATGGATTAAAAGGATCATCCCTTTTTGAATTAATAGTCGGTAAGTATAATGTGCTCCACTCAGCTAATCAAGTTTCGTTTGCTTTTTTTGTATTACATTTCAGCAATAAACTGTTTTTCACTCGTTTTTTAGAAGTGGTAACCAGCTAGAAGTCGTAACTTGCTCGTATGAAAGGATTTCTCGACGTGAAATTGTTAATTTTATTCAACAACGCCAAGAAACAGAGCTCGCTCAAGAAACAGAAAAGAAAGAGAAAGATGAAAAAATATTCTGTTGAACAATACTATTGTTTTATTTATAAATTATTCTTCTATATTTAAAGATATAAAAGATGTAGAAAATGCTTCCTCTTTTATATTGACATCTAAAAGAAGTTTTTTTCTCGGCATCGGAAAAAGCTTTTTGTCATACTTTGTATGAAGAGCTATTATCATTTTCATTTGAAAAAAATGGCTTTTCATATAAGAAAGGTAGGAATACTATAGCGTATAGGATACTACAGTATACTAATAAGTATGGCAAAAAAGTCGTTCCGACCCCGAGAAAAAACACTTTTTTAAAAGAGCATAATTGATTAACAAAGACGTCTTAAAGACGCTTTTTAAATGTCTTTTCATTACAAGAAAATAACAAAAAAGACGCATTTTCGATGTCGAAAAAAGATGTCGTTTAGATTTGTATATTTGACTAAAAAAAGGCGTCTTAAAGACGCATTTTTTATGTCTTTTCATGACAAGAAGTTAAGTTAAAAAAAGACGTCTTTTCGATGTCGAAAAAAGATTTCTTTTAGATTTGCATAATCGATTGAAAAAATACGTCTTAAAGACATCGTAAATAAGACTTTTAAAGACGTCGTTTTGACGTCTTTTTTCCCACTGGGTTAATGATTAACTTTATAGTTTTGTAGTTGAAAATTCGAATCTTTTTCAACTTGTTTATCTCGACACCACGTCTCTGTCAGACAAATAATTTTAAAATTAATTTCAACACTATATAAAAATTCTTTAAATTTATCAAAATTTTTTTGGAGGCTCCTAATATTTAAGTGTAAAATAGAGAACTCATTAATATCTATATTAGCAGAAAGATTAGAAATATTGGAATTATAATAAGAATGTTGCTAATTATTTCATCAGTGTTAAAAAATTAACATCTGGATCTGAATGACTCTCTAAAAGTATATTTTTATTTGTCTGGAAAGCCTTAAAGCTTAATTCACAAAAATTCATATCTTTCATAACAACAATAAAGGTTATACTAACAAAATATTTAAAGTATGAAATAATTAAAGTTTACTAGGTAATCTCCTGAATTCTTTTACTATTAATTTATCGTAAATTACAACCGAAAACATACCATTTTTTTCTATGTACCTTCATTTGCTCGAGTAGTTTTTTCCTGATAGGTGCAGTTTCCATTGAATAATCGTCATTGATATATATTCCAGACCCTTTTAGTTTATTTGCACTTTTTAAAACATTTACTTTATCCTTGTAATTTAACAGTTTTATTGATCTCGGTCTACCTGCTTCAATTTTTCCTGACCTGTGATTGCAATTTTCAATTACAATTCCTTTTAAATTAAGTTTTTCTTCAAAAGTATTTAATACCTTCAGTTCGGTGTCATCCCAATTTTCTTTTCCATTTTCCGATAAACCCTCTATTCGAAGACTATTCCTCTTTTGTCTATCTTCAAGTTGCCTTAGTTTATTATCTTCCGTATCTCTGCTTTCTGATTTTGATACGATTTTTTTTTCTAATTCGAGATTTTTTTTTCTTGCATGTCTTGTGTAAAGTTCAGACTTTCTTTTATATCTTTTTGTACAATTTCATTTTTGTTTAATCTTTTAACGTAATTTTTTTGTTCCTCTTTAATTAATATGTTTTCTTTTTGGAGTGTCGCACACAAATCTTTTACAGTGTTTATTTCTTTTAGCAGACCATCAATTCTATCGTTTGTTAGTTTCAGATTTCCACTAATTAGTTTTAGAATTTCATTTTGTTGCCTGATAAACATTTCGTATTATGATGTATTACTTTATTTTATTTGTGTTCTTTTTTCCATTGATAATTCCTATTTTTAAAGATATATAAATACTAAAACTAATATATATATATATATATATATATATATATATATATATATATATATATATATATATATATATATATATATATATATAATATATAATATATATATATATATATATAATACACATAATGCTAAATAAATACAATTTATAACTTTTTAATTAATAACAAGTAGTATATAATAGGTTCGAAAAAGATTATTGAAGACAGAAACAAAAAAAGCAAAACTGCACGAGTTAGTCATGCACGTCTAACTTTCTTGGCATAAAACACTAGAGATACAGTTAATAATTTCTTTGTGACATTTGATATGTACCTCTATTGAGTGTTTTTTTGAGTGTTGTTCTATTGTTAATAGTTTAGATTATTCTACACAAGTTTCAATTTTACAAAAGTTTCACACAAATCATTTATAAAATTGTGATTTAGTTTATAAAAGTTTCAAACTTTTACAATTTTTGTTTATATTTTGGATATTTATGCTTAAAATTTTAATTAAAAAAATAGGGAAAACTCGGGGATTGTGTAGTATTTACTTTTTATCGCATTTTTGTTTAAAATAGCATAAATAAGTGTTTTTATCATTCAAAATATCATTTTATTGGAAAACTTATAAATTAGATTTTGCTTAACTTTAAAAGAAAAATAAGAATAAGCAAAAATAAAAAAATAAAAAAATTATTTATACTTGATTACTGTTCCAATTAAATTCTTTAGCCACCACCTTGTCGTATACTAAAATGGCATACTTTCCAGCTTTTCGTTCACTCATTCTTTCGATTTCGACACCAACTGATTTGATTAGTACTTTCTTTCGACACCAACTGATTTGATTAGTACTGTCCGATGATTGGATATTAAATGGTCTACGGTGTCTTAACGCTTTAGGTAATTCAATAAAGATTTTATGTACAAATTTTTTTATTTTCAAAGGAGACATGTTATTTATGAGATTTGAAGTTGCATACTCAGTTGAGTTTTGCTTTTGAAAACCGAACCACTTTTCGTTCAAAAACAGCCAAGTTGTTTTATAATAGTAGATTTTAAATTTTTTCAAAATTTTTTTTTCCTTTTTAGTATACAGTAAGATTAATTTCATTTTTATTTTTTAAATACTAGATGTCAGGTTTTCGCTTTGTTTTTGATGATTATTTAAATTCCTTAGTGATTGATGGGTAGTTAAAACATTAAATCCTAATTCTTTTTCTTCAATTGGGAAACGTTTATTGTAGTGTTTTAGAAAAATATCTATAAACATACATATATGCACAGCGTGCGTGGGCGTGTGTTTGTGCGTAAGGTTTCATTTATCATATACTTTATCCACTGCCGATAGCAACTTTTTAAAATTTAAAAAATTATTTATTAAAAACTATTTTAAAATAGTTAGAAAAAAAAAAAAAAAATTCGTTTTTATCATCGTTATAATAAATTGCAGCTGAAGATAATTTTAAGTTTGGTAACTTATCTGGATCTAAGATTTAAACAACTTGTTTTGGTTTCTTGTAAATATGATGTGAAGAACGAGTTTCTCATAAATGAAATGAAAAAAAAATATAGTAATGACAGTGGGGTTTGAACCACAGATCCTTTGTTTTTGAGGTAAGTTAGCTACCACTGCGCCACGGCTGCTCAAGATTTAAAACCTATTAGTATCGTCAACATTCAACACCTTTTAGCTCATTTTATTTTTTAGACTATCAGTTTCCTTATAAAAATGTAAAAATTTATTAACAGTTTTCCCTCAATAATAATTTTTCTCTATGCTTAAGGTGGTAGTATACCATTAAAAAAAAATCTTGCAATTTAACTTTTTTTTCAATTATTAATAGTGCATAACATATATTATATGATTAAAATATAAGTAAAAATTTAAAAAGTTAAAAAAATTAATTATGCGCATAATTATTGACAGACAAAAGCCTAAAATGAATAACTGGCGACAGGGTTTTTTCAGCAACCGTAATAAATTTGAACTGAAATTTTGGCTTGTGATCCTTTACTTATGCAATAACAACATACACTAAAAGTTTTGGATTTAGACCAAAAAAAGTCAAAATATATGCATTTTAGTCATATTTGGAAGTTTTGGTGTTATTTGAGAACACAAAATCACTCACAAAAGTAGAACACAATTAGCTGTAAACATAATTCTAGTAGAGGTTGCAAATACATGTGTTACAAACAAGTGTGCCAAATTTCAGATCAAATTGGTTATCGGTTTGAAAAATATCTCCATCGCCAGAGTATAAAACATGATTTTGAGAAAAACTCAATTTAAAAATAAAAACAAAAAAAAATTGTTCAAAACTCCCCACTTCCATAAACTGCACCTTCTAATGTTTCGTTTTGATCACAAAAACCTTTTTGTATAGCTCTTAGTTTCTTGCATCTCAATTTCACTATACTTGATCATTGTTTTTCTGCTTTAGAAATGCGCTTAGAGTCATTTATAAGACAAAAGTTATGTAGATTGCAACCTACTGTTATTTCAAGCTTATCAAATAACGTCTCTAAAAATTGTAGTCCATTATTAAAGTATAGGACAGCTGATGCTACTCCAACACATAAAGCAGTTCTTTCTACAAATATATTTTTGGGACATTGTTTCCAAATCAATTGATTCAGCGCCTCATTAGGATTCTGTGTTTTGCCGTGCAAACACTTTTCTAAAAGAACATCACTACCAAGATCTATAAATATTGGTTTTATAAAATCACTCACAGCAGCAGGAATACAAATATTTTCTTTGTACGTTTTTTTTCCAGTTATTTTATCAGCCTGGAATTTGCACCAAGAATCCTTGGTGCGCAAACAAAATTGATGGCGTGTTTCATTGTCGTAACTTTCAGAACAGTGAAAAAGAACAGCTGCTACACTTTTTTTCATTGCATATAAACTACCAATATTTTGTCTCATTGCTTTGCCATAGTAATTTTGCAATGTGTTAATAACATTTTCTGTCAAACGACCTGCTCCTCCTAGTTTTTTACCATCACTTAAAATTTCTTTGCTGCTTTTTTTAAGTTTCTTAAACGCGTGCCAACTCTTTTTTGAATATGACCAATGCACTCTGCTTTTTTAATTTCTACATTATGTCCATAAGGTTTAGCAGCAACAACACTGGTATAAGAACTACTATCTCCGTCACCAAGATATGTGGTATACCTTAAATTGTTTTTTTTTCAGAACGATGAAAAAGTTTTAAAACACCACTTGATTCCATAGCCGATGATGATCCAGTATGACTAATTTTACACTTTTGGAAATGTGATGACTGGAACTTTTCATATTCAACTGGATGTGTGTATTTTTTTAATTTCCATATTGAACATAATTTACATGTTTTTGTTTCTATTTGAAAGTCAATACATTTACCACTTTCAACTGAAATCGCAGAAACAACTCCATTATTTGAAGTAAAACCACGCTTTTGCCATGAACCATCAAAGCTACACATAATGTCTCTTGATGTTTCACCTGCAGGGATTAATTCATCAGCAGCATTTTTTCATGTTCTGGTCAACTAAATTTTGATAAACATCTAACAAGTTATGTAAAGTTTTATTGTAGCTTTTTTTGTTCATAGGTGGCTTCATATTCATTATTCCACAAAATTTTTCTAATGACGATAACCCTTTACCCATTTCACGAAAAGCCACAATGACACGTGTGTTAATATCAAATGGTTTTTGCCCACTACATTTGCTTTTACTAGGCTCTTGCTGTTCAAGAAAAATTACAACATATTTTTAAACCAATACTCAAACCATACTTTTTTGACGAATCAAACATTAAAAAAACATTATCTTCACACAAATTTGGGCATTTAAGTAACGATATAACGTTTTCCAACAGACTAAAGTTCATAACAAAGTTAAAATCTGTACTTTGAAAATCTTGAAAATCTCTATCAGCAATATTTAATTTTTATGAAGAAACAGAATGTGTAGCAGATTCAACAGAAGATAAAGTTTTCGTTTCTGAAGAAGGAATCTTTGTATATCTGTTTCCACGAAATTTTGCTTTTTTATTATTGTATATTCTGCTTGATAATTGTTTTCTCTTTGATCCACCCATATTATTTTTATTGTAAAAAGATAAAAGATATACTACAGCATAAATAATAAAGTTTGAATGCAGAAGCGAATTACGTCAATAAAGCCATCATGCTGAACTAATTAACAAGAAGTCGTTGCAGTCTACAACTTTGCACTTAAAATAGTTGGCTAGGTAAGTATTTTATGGCTTTTTTATGGTTTTAACTTGTTTCTGAAACGCATAACAACGGAATAAACAAAGCGTTGCTAGGGGGAAAATAAAAATTATTTTATACCGATACATTATAAACAGGTTTTAACATGTGAAGCTTTTTTTATTTAGTTAAATCAACTAAAAATTCGAAATCTGTGATGATTATATTGGTTAAATAATGAAAATAAAAAAAAATAAAAATTTTTACTTTTATTGGTGTACTACCACCTTAAAAATATAAAAGCTAATGTTTTTAAAAATCAAAACTTAAGGTTTACTTAAATTTTTTCGATTGGACGTCAGTAATTCATGTTAAATATTTCAAAATGTTGCTCTCAGGAAACTAAATAGAGCAGACTCAATATTTCTTACTAAAAAAAAAATTGTACATTCACTAAATTTGAAATCGCAGCATTCACTAAAATACAATATAAAAAATAAATTAAACAATATTAAATAAATAAATGTATAAGTTTTCTTTTAGTAATATTTTTTATGTTTCTTTAGCTAAATCCTGAAAGCGATAACTTATGCTTATAAAAATCAAAACGTGATAAAAGTATTGACATAGTAAATCGTATTTTATCTCGATAAATACGAATCTGATGTAACAATATACCAAAAATTTGTGACGTAACTCGGTTTTAATGAAATAGCAAAATAATCTAAAAACAAAATTTGCCGTAATTTTAATGTGTCGCATATTGTTAACAAGTCAAATTTTCGAAGAAAATTTACTAGATTTTATTTACTCTTTCCTTTCATGTGGTGATAGTTCGGAAGGATTTTTGCTAAAAAGTCTAATTGAAGTATTTGTTGAGCTGGTTTCTCTAAAGCAATTCTTCTCGAACATTTTTCTCCATATATCACTGTATTCTCATTAAGTTTTTCTTTTCCAGTCAATCGGCACATAGCACCTACTACACATCCATCTGTTACTTCAATGTTTGGTCCAATAAATGTTTTAGCTTCAAAAACATTGTTGCTACCGATTGCAATAGCTTCAACATAAGTGCCTATTTCAAAAACATTACAATGGCCAATTACTAATGTGCGACCAGGATGACAATTAATAATAGTAGCCTGCTCTTCTATCAAATTACCATCGCCAATGATAATACTACCTAAAATGAAAAAGTTTTTATTTTTTATTCAAATAAATATGAATAAGTATGAAATCTGTTTATTTTGAAAAAACGTGAGTAAAAGAGAAGCAACCTGTTTATTTTAAATTATTAATAAATAAAAGAATCTCAAATCATCAAGCACTTGTAATGCATTCAGAATGTTACATCTTTTGGTCAAGGACGGTGTGTGTTTGAAACTACCACCCCCTTCTAAAGATTTGCAAAATTCTGATATAGTAAAATTGAGGGTAAAAAATATTGTTAAAAGAAAATCAATTTATTGGTAAAACTACATTAAAATTACACTCCTTCCGTTTTTGATGCCTATTATGGGCTTGGTTAAGTGTGTAAACCCTATTTTTTAAACTAAGTCAAGAATATTGTTTAAAAAAATAATTATGTTATAGGTAGTAACGTATTTGAGGGAGAAGGTATTCATAATCCCTTTTAAAATTTTTTTACACTTGATATATTTAAGTTATTTTATGTCATTATAAATTTCAATGACACATTATATCAAGCAAGGTGTCATAAATTTATTTGTTGCATTCTAAAATTATTGATAAGTGCTTTTTTGTCAAGAAAATGATAAAAGGAGCATTCGATAAGAAAGTGGGACCAGGCATGTAAAAGGAGCATTCGATAAGAAAGTGGGACCAGGCATGTAACCCACTATCACAAATATTCTTCACCTTTGTAGTAGAAATGGTCTTTGTAGTAGAAATAGTAGTAACTACTTTGTAGTAGAAATAGTAGAAATGGTCGCCCACATCACACAGATCACTTTGCACTGATATCAAATGGATTTTTGATCTTGCTAAAAGTTAGAACCAGTTTTGAAATTTTGATTATTTTATAAATTAAAATCAAAATGGGAAACTGACCTCATCTATCTTGGAAAATGTAATAAAGACAGAACAGAGGCTTTGTTTAAAAAAAAGAAAATTTTTTATTAAACTACATATTTTAAAGTTTTGTTGCAAAATTGAGATGCAAGATTTTTTGACCATCAAACAAATGAAAAAATAAATAAATGAAAAAATCCATTTTGATGTTAAAAATTACATATATTAAAAATTTCCATAATTAAACAAAAAATCCATTCATAATAGCTAAAATAGAAAATTCATTATTCATGATGATAAAATATTCAAGTCTAAAAATGTACAAGATTTTAATAAAAAACCAGTTGCTAAGAAACCGAAGACTATTTATGTCTGCTTAATTCATAAATTGTCACAAAATAAAATTTGTATACTACATCGAGTAAATATAAAAACTTTGACAAATTATCTGGGTTCATGAAGATGATGGTATTCTTATCATGTTTAAGAAAGAAGGCTTAGGAACCCAATGAGAATCATATCTACTGTTTTAGTAGAGAACATGTCTACTGGTCAGTGTTTAAAAGTGTTAGGTAAATGAAGATGCACGAATTTAAGAAGAGTGTCTTTACATTCTTCATCAAATTTTTATACCAATTCAACCCAGTTAAGTATATCATATTTGAAAATAAATAAAATAAATAAATATCTTTTAAATTTTATTCTTTTTATATTAACATTCTGATCCATATTATAAACATTCTAAAGAAACTATGATAAGTACACTTCACCTCAGAACAAAAAACAAGAACAAAAACATATTGTTTCCTTAACGCTTTTTTTTGTGTATTTTATGCGTCTCCTCACATGTAAAGAATATGCTTTAATCTACAATAAATTTAATACAACAGATAAAATATGTTAAGAACAATTTTCAAAATCATCTATTATCTCGATTTTTTTAACACAATTACAAATACAATAAAATACAAAAATTCCTAATTGCGAAAGCATTTCAATCTTAATAAAGGTATCTAAATGCCTTGCAGCCTTTCTATAACTCATCTTTATGGAGAGTTTTTGCTGAGATTAATCTTATATTAGTTCTTTACATTAGAAGGACAATGTCCTTGATCAGGTTGTGCAAACTGTTGAAAAAACAACAAGTTGTTCTTCATTTACAGCGGCACTGCTTCTTAAAATGTTCTGACCAATTAAATATGAAGATATTTTTAAAATATATTAAAAATTCAGTTGATCCCTGATTTAAAATGGTATTACAACTTTTTCCTAAATTTTCTTATACACATCAATTTAAGAGTATTATACTCTTACATTGATGTGTAAAAGAAAATTTAGGAAAAGATTATAATACCATTTTAGGGATTAGGAATCAACGAAATTTTTAATATATTTTTAAAATATCTTTATTTTTAAATCAACAATATTAAACAATATTAATCAACAATATTAATCAACAATATTAAACAATATTAATCAACGATATTAAACAATATTAATCAACGATATTAATCAACGATATTAAACAATATTAATCAACGATATTAATCAACGATATTAATCAACGATATTAAACAATATTAACCAACATTATTAATCATCAATACTAATCAATAACATTTTAATTCAACAATATTAATCATCAACATTATTAATCTATTTTTAAAGAACAATCACTTAAAAAAATATCAACTTAACCCTGTTATTATGAAAGCAATTAACGTGTCAAATTTTAAATTTTAATATAAATAAATACTATTTATTAATAAAAAACTAAAAAAATTATGAGCACTTATTTGCAACCCCAAAAAAAGTCTTAAAAAGTTGGGGTAAATTATCAATAAAAACAAATATAAAATATTTGTTTGTTTTTTTCCAAAATAAGAAACTATAACAAAATATAACTGGGCCTGTAATTATAATATTATCTATTGATTTTTTTAAATTAAGACAAACTAACTTAACTAATTTCATTTTTATCAAACAAATTGTCAATCAATCAAAAACTTTTTCCCAGGACAGTTATTGTAGCTAAGCAACTTAAAGTCTCTATTTTCAATTCTACATAGCAATAATTCCAAAAAATTTTTTTGCACATTTTGATGGTTCTGATAAACACAAACTGCATTCAGGCTAAAATCAACACTCACATAATTGCAAAACAATTGATTTAAATTTAATTTATCTAATAATAATAGCATGTTTTTAAAAATGTCTTTATTTAAAAAATAAAATAAAAAAGAGATGACCACTAGTTAGTTTATACTGGTAAAAAATACATTTTAAGTTTACTTTATTTTAATTTTCTGAAAACATTATTTTCATTCTAGTCTTAAATATTCAACTTTCTGTGAAAACTTTTTATCTTTAAGTTAAACATTTTGAGATCCAGACTCTCTCTCTCTCTCTCTCTCTCTCTCTCTCTCTCTATATATATATATATATATATATATATATATATATATATATATATATATATATATATATATATATATATATATATATATATATATATATATATATATATATTTATATATATATATATATATATATATATATATATATATGCATTTTTTCTAGAAATTATTGTTTTTTTTCACGAAAAAATGCTGTTTGGCAATATTTCTGCTAAATTTCTCTGGGACAGAGGAGGGAGGGAAGGAGTGCCGCCACACAAATTTTTTTCATAGATTAGCCACTCATATATATATTTATGTATATATATATATATATATATATATATATATATATATATATATATATATATATATATATATATATAATTACAACTGATAATTAATAGTCTATTGCTATCTAACTTGTTAATGACATTTCTGATAAGTTCACAATTATCAATGTCTAAATGCCTTGTGATTTGTATGAGAATGTTGTATAATAAAAATCTTGAATGTCTTGGTAGTCTTTCAACTCTTATTTTAGATTTAAATGGTAAATTTATTATTTACTGGTGACTTAAATTGTGTACCATGATTCCGATCTCCATGTAGTAATCTCCTAATTGATTTCTGTACTAATGAACATCTTGTCACAGCTGATATCTGTCTACCAAATGAATCCTTTACTTTTGTTAGTGAAACATGGGGCACCTCTGTCTTGTCTTTCAAAGTTCTCAATGCTATGTTAATAACTTCAATATAACTCAGTCAACCAGTCAACGTTTAATATCTTGTTCAAAATTGATATCTCTTCCTCCTCTTACTGCTCATACTACTTCAGCAAAATCTCCCAAAATAGTTTTAAATGCTTTGTCAACCATTATGTTTAAAAGGAGTATACTTCTACTATATTTAACCTGGTGTCTTCAATTAACATGAATCAGTTCGAAGTAATATATTGATGTTCATTATAGTGATACTATAATGAACATCGTGTAATACTATAATGAACATCGTGTATTACTTCGAACATCGTGTATTACTATAATGAACATCGTGTATTACTATAGCGATACATCACTATAGTGATGTTTATTGTAACTCATAACATAAACACATTAAGTGGATTAACTACTATGAATGTCTAACTAAATCTTTATCTCAGTGTCTTAACCATTCTAAATCAAGTTTCATTAAAAAAACTGCCTATGCCAGGTTGGACGGATGTAAAAGATGCTCGCAAGGCTGCTAGAGATATATTCTGTCGACGAAATAGCTAAAACAACCCAAAATTTCGTCTACAAATACATAACACGGTCTACCGTGTCATGTATTTGCAACACAAATGTAACCTTTTATTGACTCTGCCTTAGGTCCTGATAATTTATACTACAGGTGGTATAATAACTATTGCACCCTGTTTAATTCAGTCAAGTCAACATGCACTATAAATGATACCTTTACATTTAAACATTGTAATTTTCTTAAGGATGATGCCCATCTTGTCACTCCCGATAAAGCAGCTGAAAATTTTGGACTTCATGGAGCATTGTCTTTATGCTAGCCTGAATTACTTTAATATATTATCAATGTGTTTTTCCTCCATGCTTTGCTATAGACACATGCCTACTGGTGTAAGAAAGGTGATATCTCCAAATATGCTAATTATTGTCCCATTGCTTTGATTACAATTTTCTCCAAGATTCTGGAACATATTTTTGTCTCATGTGTTAATGAAAGTTTTATTGGGACTCCT